GAACAATTTTGCTGATATGAGTGTCATAAACCATGCTTAAAGTTGTTTACATACCCAGATTTGTAAAGCTTTGAATTTCTGTAAAATCACATTCAAAGTCCAGCACAATTTTATATCAATAAAATTAAAAAAATAGTGTAGTTCGGGTTATAGAAATCACAACATTTTTTTATCTTGGCCTTACTTGAAAACAAAAATACTTATAATTCTGAGTGAGGAATTACCTTTGAAAATCTTCATCACCAATTGTTAATGAATACAGAAAAAAAGGATCAGTATCATCAGTAAGGCGAACTACTAGTTCCTATCGTATACAAGAGAACAAACATTATGATTGAGAATCAGGATTAGCATTTGAACTTGACAAAGTCAATTTCATCGATAGTTGCCATCTTAGGAAACATCTAAACATTAAAACTGACACACAGGAAATGCAAGTTGTTCGTAACTGACGCCAGCCGCCCAGTTTACTTTTGCCAACCAGCGTGCGAATGTCACAAATGCGACTCACTGACCGGCACTCGCCTGTGATCTGCTGCGATAACATTACCAACAGTTGTTTCATTAACAGGAACACATATTGTACATTTACTGTATTTTTAATAACAACTGCAGTGAACGTGGTTATTTTATCTTTGAGTGTGAATGACCAGTTCATTTTCACAAGCGCAAAAGACTACAGTTCAGTGTCTGATCTACATAATGTCAGTTTTTGTAGGTTTTGTACAATGTTTTACAAGCATAAAAGTTATCGTTTAACCCATTCCGAATTGAACCACTTGTGTTTCCTGAGCATTAGTTTCACATGTAATGAGCAACATCCTACTAGAGCCCAATTAAGTTTTCCTTTGGATATTAAGCAAGGAAGGGGCAATATGGAATTTTATAATGATGTACATTTTTCTAGCCCCCCTCCATACTTTCAAATGGCTAACCCCTTAAACTACAAATAAACCACCTACCTTTTTATGCAATGGCGTTGTTATGGAGTGCAGTTCAACTGTTATCTTAATGTGAACTCTTTTCCTGCAAAATAAAATATAAGATTTCATTGCAAATGATAAGTTGAAATAAATGAACAATTTGCATTTTTAAAGCTGCACTGAGATAAATGCAAGGCCCAAAAAAAACTTATGTTGCCCTCAAGTCAGAAAATTGAAAAAATAGGTCTTTCGGTCGGATTTTTTTTTTTAAACTTGTGAAAACTAAGGGTATCGTAATAGCCAAGGTATATGGTAATCAATCAAACGCATGCTAGATATTAAACACAAAAATCGAAGTGTTTCTTTCAGTCGTTTGTATTTAAACACAGCAGATCAACCTGAGGTTCAAAGTCGCCACTTATCCCCCTGGGGACCAAACAACGGTCCGGGATCGTTAATTTTTAGAGGAAACACTTTTTTACTGATTAAAATGGTGAGTTTTTAATATTTGGGCCAGCACAAACTCCATGGCAAGATTCACTGCTGAACAATTCACCTCTTCTGCAGGCGAGACATTCATTTAAAAAAAAAGACACTTCAAAGATGTTCTGTATTCAGTAATTGTATTAATGAGAAGTATTTGTCCGAGCGACATGGGACGTAGGTATCACTCCAAGATCATTAGCATTTATTGGGGTATTTTGACAACTACGTGATGTATTTGAAGGTCTGAATTTGTATGAATTGTGGAGAAATTATCGTTTGAATTACGAAAAAAGAAGCAAATTTTTATGGACGCATGCACATTGGAACACTTTTTTTCTCTTGTTTTGTTTGTCTTGGTGTCTCTGTATTGTGGTTTTTATTTCTTATTCATTTTGCATCTTCTGTAGTTGTTGTAACCTTTTCCATTCCCTCAGGGGGATGCGTGTGTGAGAATAAATAAGTAAATAAAATACAAAAGCATTAGCAAGGAATTTTCAAGCACAATTGAATAGAAAACCAAAGTATCACCATTGTTAGAAGGTGCTGATACATTTCCAACAATTTGTACAGGTAAATTCAGACCATCAAAAACCACAAATGATTACCGGTAGTCACTAAACCCCAATAAAACACTATGGATGCTCTCAGAGTGCCTTTCGCAGCACTCCAAGTTCCCCCTCTCCCATTTAAATAGGTGATTTTCCGTACAATTGCGAGATCTCGCGAGATGCATGAAAGACGCGCGTCGAACGTCTGCCGCAAAAATCAAACGATTTGATTTTGAACTCGAATTTCCTTATTTCGTAGCTCACACCGACCGGCCGATCTCATCTTCGACAGAGGAATATTGCTTCCGAATACCCTTACTTAATCGAAATTGCCTATCATCAAATGTGGACAGCACATTATTAAGCATGGAAATGTCCCCAAAATACTTTCGCATTTGTCGAATCCCACGCGATGTTTGACGCCACTACGACCTTTGTTTGTCCTGTTTTTACGTTCGATTTCATGCATAACGCGTGATTCTCGCAGTGAACGGAAAATGGTCTATTGTAAATACCCATCTAGATAACTAGAGGTACTGGTATCTCTCATGGTCCGCCATATAATAATAAATTGGGGAGGGCTGGAGGGTAAGAGTTGGGTGATAGTGGTGTAAAAGGAACGCTTTTCAATGTGAAAATTCTATACAGGTTAGGCAACAACTGTCACTGTATACAAATTATTAAAAAGTGTGTATTGCGAACAAAAAACAGTGCAGTAAAAAATTTAAATTAACATTTAATAATGGGAAACACATAGTTTTTCCAAACATTTTGGTTCCTTTGTGTGAATTTTAATGTTGGAAGAAGATTGTAGTTGAAGGACCACATGTGGCATCTGTTTACTAACTCTGAAGTCATGTACAGACACATAAATATAAACAATAAAGAATCCATGCTTCTGTGCATTCAAATCATTGGATGCAACAGTTAGTGCAAAATATAACGTAATTTCGAGAATGTGTAATAATTGCAAAGAAAACATAGACAAATGCTTGTTCTTAAGAATGACAAGCTTCAAGTTTGACACGTTCGAATCACATGGGTAGTGTACTGTAAATTGACACCATACAACAATCCGAACGTTTACTAGAATCATGTAGAAACAGTTGTGTTAATACACGTGCAGTTTGTATTACAACGTACACCATTGCAATATCAAACGTTTCTATTAAATAGGTGTCAAAATAATATAGCCAAAAGTTGTCGAGGGGCATTGTTTAAATGAAGTTACGAGTTGAGCCACGGTTTCGAGGATGAAATGCAGTGAAGTATGGGCTTGAATGGTCATTTGAATCAACGCGACTACCCAATAAAATACATGAAATCAACAGTCTCAGTGACTAGATAAAAAGTCAATCATTAATTAAAACTTCAAAGGTCAGAAGACATTCTCTTTCGAAATAACAGTTTACAGTGTACAATGAAGTTAGACAGATAACCGGAACATGGGACTGGATGAGCAAACACGATCTGGACATGTTTTGCTGTTTTGCAATGGACGGGTCACTGAAAAACCACTGTTGAGCGTTTTTGTTCAAATAACGGTACACTGTCAGTTGTAAAATTCTTCGCAACGGATGAAACCTGAGACCGTGATTTAGGTAACATCAGCCTGAAAGTAAATTTTGAACGCTAATTATCAAAAATATCACTTACGTGTCATCTCGATCGGACGATCTCACGGTCACAGCCAAAGTCCTGTTAAACAGCTGTTCAGCCATTATTATTTCCGTCGACACAACCGACACTGTAAACACTCAACTTTCGAATTATGTCAGGGTTCTGTGACGCTAAATTATCACACGAGAACGGCAACCGACCCTCGAGGTTTGCAAATTAATCCACAACTACTCACAAACACGGGAAATACGTTTCAACTCACTCAGCGAATTTCAACAGTTTGAGTTTGGCGCTTGTTAAGACATGTAACGGCGCATATAATAGGTTGAATTAAACCACGTGATCACGAACCACGACCCTCTAAGCTATTACATTTTAAACGTATTGGAGTTTCCGCACTCCCTATGTTGCTGAATAAGTGGTAATTGTGGCGATGTGACGGCTACATCGGAATTTGATTGTGACTAACCGAAATCTAGATTAATCTAGGTTAAATTAGGTTAATTTACTCGAGTGTAATATTGTTTCCAAATGGCAATTTTTCGCCGGAAGTTTTTTTTTAATTTTTACAAATACTCTACCAACGACACCCGACGAACGATACATTTATTGTATTTATTTCACTATGAATAATGTATCATTATTAGTGGCACAATTGTAATTTATATTACAACATTTTTTTTGATTTCCGCGTGTACATCGTCATTTTATTTTATAGCAACCAAGTCATTTATTTATTATTGAGTTTAAAAAAATGAGGTAAGTATACCCATAACCCCTAGGGTATATGGTCTACCGCTCATAATTTCTAATGATTAAAAGGCGGCAGTCGTCGTGCCGCGTCCTGTTCGATATGGGATATCGATATACAACGCGTGTAAAATACATTGTTTGTTTACATGAAATTCGTACACGCGCTGCGCGACGACCACCGCGCTTTAACTTTCAATAGACTGGGTATCAACTCTCTCAATCTCAATGGCAGGCGATGGTTACATAAATTTTTTTTATGATCACAAATGAACCATATCGGTCATCGTCCGAATCGCACGGTTTCGCTAAAGCCGGCCGGCTTTCATAACCGGTCAACGGTTAGTTTAGGAGGGGGGGGGGTAACCCGAAACAAACGTTCCTTGGCTGGCGAAGATGCATATGGAGGTACCTCTACATGTGTTCATACGCACCGTATTAATTTACAAATTTGTATTTTAGGTGGGATTTCAAATTCAATTCAATTCAGAACGAACATCTTCACGTTCTAACGATCCATCAACACTACGTAATGTGGGAAAAATAAGATAAATAAAATTAAAATAAATCCCGCCCTCTATTGCTGAAACGTTTTTGTAATGTCAAAATAGCGTAGGTGGCTGTAAGTATGAACTATATTTAGCTGTAAGCAACGTCGTCCAAAGAAACAATTT